CAAAAGTCACAATCACACTAACACGGTAAGGAATCAAACCATATTGATAACACTTGTCATTTACAGATGGATGGCTAAAGAAGCAATTACTTAAAATGAAGATTGTTCTGGTGGACTATAAGTAGTAGGATAACCAGATTATCTAGTATGCTAATAGGACTTCGACAGATGCAAGGTTCAACTATGGGATCACTGAAAAGGAGTTACTAGCCTTGGGCAAGATCAAATCATCAGGAAGATGTTGCTAGAAGAGTAGACACTACGGATTTTGGAGCATTACTACTCAGCAAATTCGTGGGACATTTTGATGCATCAAAAATAATAGCCAATATATTACATCCGGGTTCCTATTAGCCTTCTACATTCAAAGATGTGATTAGTATGTGTAGAATTTTGATCGGTGCCAACGTATAGGGAATATCTCAAAAAGGAATGAAATGTCTTTGCATTATATTGTAGCGGTTGAGCTTTTTGATATATAGAATAGATTTTATATAGCTATCTTTATCTTCTTTCAAATTTTTGGTAATCTGTGGATAAAATTCAAGTTTAACTAAGATGGTAGCAGACTCTTGCGCTTTGTCCGGTGGGGTGGACTGTATTAGACAACATTAAAGAATGAAAATAAGTTAAAACCTTGTATATTATGTGTTCCAACATGTGCTTGATGGCTAAAGGGATAGAGAAATGCACGATGGAAGGAACCTAGGAACTAACTTCAAGTTAGCGAGACGGTCAAATCATTTTTTGCATCATGTACAAACAAAACACCATTAAAATGCAAGGTGGAGGGGCTTGAGTTTCACTTGTAGAAATTTGCAGCTTCAAGGTTGAAGATGTAAATCGCTAGTTAATATATCGTTAAAAGACTCTAAAAAGATAACCATTCTACTCCTATAATATGAGAAATCATATTCAAGTATCCATATCTCGGAAAAGAAAATTTCCCATACTATCAAAATTTAAAAATTCATAACATGAACCGAAGCATACGAGAATAACTATTATCTAATATCATTTTGAGTATCTGGTGGATAATTTATCAATCAAATTCCTCCAACTCGACTGCTTTACAGAAATTTGAAAATAATTTAAAGAACTAATCCAGCGAAACAGTGAACCAGAACTAATCCCAAGCACATAATGTAAAACCCATATGATCAATTTCCCTTTCTACCTTCGTAGTCTACACCCATTACTCCATCATCTTAAAACCATCCAAATTCATACAAAACAACAAGCAAATAATAAAACCCATTAGAAAAATTATTAATTATCCATCTACAGAATATATAAATTACTTCCAATATATTTTAACACGAAA